TTCAAAACACTGTTATATTCAGAGCTCACAATGCAAACACTCCTAAATGACTTCTACAAAAGCCCAACTCTCTCTCATTAATGGAAATGCTGACTGTAGCAAGCAAGTACATCCTTGTTCTAAAAGCACAAGATGTGTTTGAGCTAGCAAGTTTATTTTTAAGCCCTTACTTTTTAAACTGCTAATAATGGCTCATAATTGTTCAGAAACACAGATTTTCAGAGGGCAGATTTTCAATCTTGCTAAGAGATGAAGATGTCAATCCTGTTCTTTACCAAGAAGTAAGTTTCAGCAAACCAAAGAGTCAGCTTCCCATAATGATGTAATAACTACAAAGGAGTCGAAAGGACTTGAATCTAATATGCAGCATTATTATTATTAGTAGTAGTAGTAGTAGAAAGTAGTAGTAGTAAATAATAATAATAATAATAATAATAATAATAATAATAATAATAATAATAATTATTATTATTATTATTATTATTATTATTATTATTATTATTACACAGCTTATGAGTAAAATTATGGGTATACATGACCATGGTTAATTTAAATAATTTCAATTATTCTAAGATACTTTGAACCATAAGCCAACTATGTAACATGGATTTGAACAATGTGTTAGCTAATATTCAGTTGACTATTTCGTGGTTCATTCATTCAAACATACCCCATTTCTCGTGTCTATGTAATGAAAAAAATCACGTTAGCATATTGTTCAGTGTCTTATAAATCCAGGCAATTGGATTATTTCAACAAACCATGATTCAACTAACTATAGGTACTTTCTTTAATACAGATAAGCCTGTGGTGCAAACAAAGTTCATGTAAGTTTATGAAAACTGACTCTCCATTTTCCCCACTCAGGGCTTTACTACTATTCTAAGATTTTCAGAGTTTCCTCCCAAAGGATCTTGCTTATCTTTGCAAGTAGCAAAGAAGAAAATTTTTATTAGATAACACCATTTCTTGGAGTATAGCTCTCAGCTGCCCTTGGGTGTGGCTTAGATTGAGAAGTCAGAAAGAATCCCGAAAGCAGGAAGGGTAAACCACATCAATACTGTTGCCAAGGAAAAGTGCCCACATAGCCCTCTGCAATGAGGTTCTCCCCAAGATCCAGATGACCCCCACTTTGTTGTTGTTTAGAAAAGCTGTGAAGTCCTGGCTCTTCACCCAGACCTTCAGCATGGGAGACTGAGACCCTTTGCATTTGCTTCATTCCATCTGGCCTGTTGTGCTTATTATCTTTTATTGATTTTATTGTGATTTCTTCATGACTTGTTGTGAGCTACCCAGAATTGTTGGGAGCTGGATGGCATACAAATTTAATAATAATAGTAATGATGATGATGATCATTCAAACTTGAATCAAGGGAGATATTACATTTATAGTTATTCTTGGACAAAATAAAAGCCCAAGGATTTCAGTAAAGTTCATTCCCCAAGAAATGGGGGTAGGATGGTAAAGTCAGAATAGTATGTGTGTGGGGGGAACCTAGCTAATTATATTGATTTAGTTCAGTGGCCCCAACCTTTTGGGCACCAGGGACTGGTTCCATGGAGAGAGGTTTTCTGTGGACCAGAGGGGGCGTGGTTTTGTGTGGTGCCTGCATCCCATGGATGGAACTTAGCTTGTTTGCATGGCCCAGTTTCTGGCATGCTGCGGCCCGCTGCTGCTCCACGTACTAGGGGTTGGGGACCCTGATTTAGTTAATCCTAAATCAATAAACTACAGCTTAATAAAATGACTAGTTATCAAAATGGGATACAATATTTTGAATACACACAATGAAGCAGAATGGTTCTAAATGAGCGATTGGGGGAACATAACCCATCACTCTTATAATGATCATTGCTTTGGTTGGAGTATGCACTGACTTCTTACAAAGGTATAGGTTGTCTTAGTTTTACTACTCGTGTCTTTTCATTGAGCTCCATCCCTTTTGCATGCACTCTGACACTAAAGAAGTCCATGTAGAAGATGGAGACTAGACTAGCAGTCCAAAACATTATCATTCTTCTTCCTTTCCTATTCAAGCCCCTGGCAATAGCTGGATGGGGTTCACTAGCCCATCTGACTCTGCTAACCAAAATAAAGATGGCACCAGTTGCAGGTTCAGCCTTCCCTCCTTCTGTTAAATCTCTAGCTGTGAAAAGATGGGTTCTGCATTTGAGGTTGTGAGTCTAATACATTTAAGCAGGGCTTTTTTTCTCATAGAACGCCCAGATCGGAGTTCCAACACTTTTGGATGGAACCTTGTAGGGTAGGCAAGGCGGGTTGTATGAGGTGTGTGAGTTCCAGCACCTTTTTTTTTTTTTTTAAAGAAAAAAAGCACTGCATTTAAGGAGCTACCAAGTGGTAAATAATGTGTGTGTTAAACTAGAGGATTTGGAGCTCTCAACATTTGCAGAGTTGCACTGGAAGTTCATTCCTTATTCCAGCATAATCACCTGGAGCTTTGGAAGAAAAGCTGCCTTAACTGGGAAGACGCCCAGAGTCCTTGGGAATGACTCTGGGCATATACATTTAATATATTGAGAGTACAGCAGAGTTGGGAAACTCGGTCAACTGCTGGTATTACTTTGGTCCCAATGTGGGGTCCTTGGTGCTCTCCGAGCTCGGTTGTTCTTATGCAGACGTTTCATTACCCAAAAATTTGGGTAATGAAATATCTGCAAGAAAACCACAAAGCTCCGAGAGCACCAAGGACCCCTCATTTCAACCCTGAGTAATAAATATCCCCCCCTTGCGTTGGTCCCAACGTCATCCAACCTTAGGGTCTTCGGGAGTATTTCAGCCGAGGTGCGATAACCTTGGTAGTTAAGAAGTCGAGGGGGAAAACTCTGAACTAAGGCATCTCATGGGGGGGGGGGGGCTGCGGCACGTGGCCGGTCCCAGCAGTTCCCTTTAATGTCCAGCTTTGAAGGGAGTCGGGCGCGTGGGGGCAACAGCTTCCGATTGGGAGGCGTGGAGGAGGGCGTGGCGGCGTGCGCCAGGCTGGAGCTCTGCACCGAGCGAGGCCCTTCTGGAGTTAGGACGTCCCCCCCCCACCTCACACCTTCCCAAATCTCCCGCGCCCCTCAGTCCGGGAAGAGTTTGCACGCTCCGCCGCCGCCTCGCGAAGGGGAGGAGGAGCTCCGCGACCGGGCGGATTGCTGGCGGGTTCCACCTGCGCTTGATTGGCGAGGCAGAGCTGCGGCCGGGGGAAAGCGAGGCGAGGGGGGCAGTTCGCGGGCAGCCTCTCCGTCCGTCCGTCCGCGCGGTTCTAAGTCTTTCCTCTCTCTTTCCCTCCCCCGCCGCTCCTCCTCCTCCTCCTCCTCGCACCGCCGCCTTCTTTCGTTGCTCCGCTTCCCATCTTCTTGCTCAGCTAAACCATGGAGGCATTTCCAGTCGGGGACGAGCTGGGGAGCACCCCAGAACCCACCATTTTGCAGCCTCCCGGCACCGCTCCCACGCCGGCTTATCCTGCCCGCGAGCCGCAACAAGGCGAGCACCTGCGCGTCGGGGAGGACGTCCAATTCAGCGAGGAGGTGGAAGATAGAGGTGAGCCCTTCGGTCCGGGGACGCTGGCCGCCGCCGCCGCCGCCGCCGCCTCGTCCCAGGTCCAAGCCTGCGGCGCCCGTTGCCCCACCCACCACTCCCCCAGCCTTTTCTCCGCTTCTGTTTCTCTCGACTCTCCCGGCGTTCGAGCCCTGCTTAAGTTGCCGCTTTTTCCCCCCCCAAAGCCCTGGCGCGCGGCACACATTCTCCCCGGCGGCTTCTGGGGGGGAGCCCCGCTTGGTTGATTGATTGATTGGCGCTTCTGCACAGAAGAGACCCCCCCTTTTTTTTTTGCCCCCTCTCCCAATTGAGTTTCTGTAGTCGGCGCCTTGTCCGGCCCTCCCCTGATTTCCGCTTCGCTTCAAAGCCGCTTCGGCGAAGCCCACCAGCCCTCCTCAACTCTTCCCGCCGGCGGCCGGCGCGCCGCCCTCCTTTGCGCAGAGCTACATTTTGCTTAGGTCACTTGGTCACCCCCCCCCCCCGAGCGATGCCTTCCTCCTGCGGCTCGTCCTCGGTTAACGACTGCCTGGCCTGGGACTCGCTCGGGTCCGCGCCGTCCTTTACTTCCAAAACCCTAGGACCTTTTTTCCCTCTCAAAATCTCCATCTCTCTGGCCCAGGTCGCCCCTCCCCTCCTCAGTAGCCTCGCTTTGCCCACTCCTGTCCTGGCTCTCGTTCCTGAGGCGCTGTATTAAGGCTGCTGTTCACACAAGTTTATGCGACAAGAAATCCAAAAGACTCCACGCCATCTTCACCTTTAACACCGACCTGAGGGCCTCCGTTGACTTCTCCCTCTTAAACAGGGGAGGAAAAAAAAATCTGTTTTCCCCTCTAGGCAGCTGGAGTTGGTTTCCTGCACATCTTCCTGATTTTTTTCCCTCCCCTTATTTGAAAATATGCAGAAAAAGCATCTACCAGGATAGAAAAATAAAGACATCCCATGCCACCCGCTTTTTTTTTTTTTAAAAAAATGGGTGTGCTTGAAGGCTAGCATGCAAAATGCAAATCCAGATGCATTCGCTGCCTTGCAAGCAGGCGGCCTCATTCACTGCAAAGAAAGGATGCTGTGTATCCATCTCCACCCTTCCTTACAGGGAAAGGGACACTTGGTCTATTGTCTCCTGCCTGTGGTGGCACCTGCCCTGCACGTGCCTATGCATTGGCTTTGCATATTCTCCCACCCCCCTTTCCTTTCAATCTCCCCCTCTCCATCTCCCACAATGGCAAGGAAGTTCCCTTTGAATTCAGACATTCCTTTGAACTTATACTCCTTGCTCTTTTCTTTCAGTTATTGTTTCTAATTCTTCTTTTCCATGGCTTCTTTTAGCTTTGTTCCCCAGATAATACTGTTCTGGCAGTAGTTCCATTGTGTAAAACTGGTGGTGGTGAATGAGGTGGTGTGTGTCAGTTTTTAAATTAAAAGTAGTTAAAATCAGGAGGTAACTTGCTTATTACTTTGGGACTCAAGGGAATGTGTTAACAATATGCGTAAGGTCCAATTTCAAGAGTTTTGAGTCCAGGAATAGCATGGTCTTTATTTAACCAAGAATACTCCTCCCACTGTCACCTTTTGCAGTATCTGCTCCTGCAGAGATTTTGTCAGATATGAGGAAGAGGAACTAAAATGATAAAAGAGAAAATAAGTGCATATTGGGGACATAAATGTGTGTTGGAGACAAAGAATCCCCTCAGCTTATTTCTATATTTGCTCCCAGGAAAATGTTAGAAATTTTTTTTTTATCATTAAATGTTTGTTAATTGCACTAGGCAAATGTCAGGTGCTTTTCATTGGGTCCCAATACATGGAGGTTTTATATGTAGCCCATTTAGAAAGTTTAAAGTCAGTCTCTCAAAATATTATTTATACAAATTTTCTCTCGTTTGTTAGAAAACAGAAATTTATGCCATTAATAGAGCAAGAAATAATCAGAAAATATAAAATGTGATATTTTATACAACATAAAGTATCAATTTCATAAAGTTGTGAGCAGAAATAAATTATAAAATTTATTTTTAAATAAAGATGGATATAAAACACACAATTACATCACAATGCATGGTAGAATTTTATGATATAAAAACATTTAGAATTATTTAAAAAAAGAATAATTTTGTCCAGGAATTGTGGCCTTTAAATAATGTGTATTGTATTGCCTTTTATAATTTAACTTATTTGAACCGTTATTCTAGAGGAATTTTGTGCACTTGCTCAGAAGTATGATGCATATAAGAAAATATTTTTTTCTGTATAGCTGGTAGGAATATTATGTTTGTATATAATTGCAAAGGTGTCTATCATATATGTGTATTTATATGCCATAGGTCTTTAAAGGATTAACAGTTGTAACTAAATAACTACTAAATCACTTTAAACTGAAAGATCTGAATAGTATCTATTTTACCTGGCTTAATTCAGATTCAGTTATTTTAGTTTCAATTAGAATGCACTGATTTTAATTAGTAAAAGTAAGCATAGTAAATTATAAAAAAAATGGTACAGGAAGAAGGGTTGTATGTCTTCCACCCATTACAGACATTAGACTTTTATTTATTTATAGTTTATTATCTTATGAATAGCTTTGCTTAAGGTCTTGGTTACAGAGAGGCCTGTAGTACTTTTTATCATAGAATTCACTAATTCAGAGGGCTTTGTCTAATCCTTTGATAGTTAGACCTGATTTGATAAGACTATGTGCTTCCATGTAAGATAATAGTACTAAAGTAGGAATTTGCTTTTTATCCAGAAATTAAAATAATATTTAAGGAAAAGGGGAAGCCAAGAACAATTTTTCAAATGTCGTTAAATAGACAAGTTAAATTTGCAGACATAACAATAAACTTAGAACTGAAAAAATAAAATAATAAAATGGAAATAAATTCTATTATCACCTATATCTAGATATGTCATCTCTCTCTCTCTCTCTCTCTCTCTCTCTCTCTCTCTCTCTCTCTCTCTCTCTCTCTCTCTCCCCCCTCCCCTCTCGCACACACACACATGCACACACAAACACAGACACACACAGACCTACCTTTTAGGTTTGTGTTTTTGACTGACCAGCATCCCAAGGAAGCGTTCCTTTGTGCTTTGATACCTAATTAAGAATTGCAGTGTAAATGCAGAGCCTTAAGGATAATGTGAAACCTTCATATATACACAATCTCCTTTATGATTACAATATGGTCCAGGTGGTAATTAGGCTCCTTCAGCCTTATAGAAATCTAGGCTCAGAACTGAAGCAGCACACCTTACTTGTAATAAAACGATTGATTGGCCTCTACTGTAAGATTCAAATACACAGAAGGCATACTTGGTAGATTATGTACGGATCCAGTTATAATCCGTGGCAAGGAGAAGACTAAAGCAATAGATAGACGTTTGTTTCTTCTCATCAGGTTTACTAGAAAGCAGTACAAGATTAAAGCCTCATGAAGCTCAAAACTACAGAAAGAAAGCATTGTGGGTTTCGTGGGCCTCCATTATTGTTACGCTGGCTCTGGCAGTGGCTGCTTTCAGTAAGTATTGAACCACTTTCTCATCTTTAGACTGCATGCACAATATGATACTGCTGAAATTACATAGAAAAAGCTTCCTGTTCCCATTTTTTTCTGGAAAAGGCATAATTGCTGAAAGTTAAAAGAAAGACTAGATCTTGATGGGTTTTTTTTTTAACTTGTATTGATGTGGGTTTGCATTTTTTAGTGGAAAAAAGTGTAATATGGCTTGTCTTTTTTTTAAAAAAAAAACAAAAGGAGTTCTTTAACTTAAATATTCCACAGAGATGCAAAAATAATGCATGCAATGACGTATGCAAAGATGGAGTAATTATTGCAACATAACAGCTAGTTAATATTTGAACTGCAGCCTACCATTTTGATGGGATTATATCTTCCTTGAAGTAACTTTAATGATGCCTGGTTGGATATGATTTTCTGCTTTAGGCTATTTGTTAATATTCCATTGAATGTATTTTTTTTTTGTCAATTTGCCTTTGCGGACTCCAAAACTGAATGTAGCTTTAAAAAAAAAAAATCAGATGAAGGAAGGAAGGAGGGTTATTTCATTTAAAAAGAAACTAAATAGCTCAGCACAATGGGAAAACGTTGCACACTTGCTACCATGAATAATACAAAACGATCTTGAATTTGATAGAGTGAGCTTAAGAGATGCAAAATTTGATAATGGTTACAAAAACCAATTGCATTTTTTTTAATTTGAAGCGCCAGAATATTTATTCTATTCTATTTCACTATTAAAAACTAAATGAAAAAGACAAAGGATTTGTGTGAGATAGTGAAAATACGATCTTAATGTGAGAAAGGCAAGCTGGATGCCTCTGCAGCATATGTTCCCGTGCTAATCTGCAGCAGTGGGCTATTGCTGAAAGTTGGTGTCAGCTCCCAAGGGGGGTTATTAGTCTTTGGCCAAATGGGCTCTGCAGAATTTAGCATATATTACTTGGAATAATTTGTATGGAAAACACACACACGGTGTATCTATTTTTGAAAGGAAGGAAGGGAGGAAATATAAATGCAGAACTCATCTGTAAATCAAAATATAGCCTCTGTAGATTTGTTCTGTGTCACTGATAAAATTTGCTACCTAGAAACTGGGTCAGTTCTCAGACCAGAGCTGTGGCTAGGATAGCAGTCTATGGCATTTTAGGCAAAAGGATTAGTGGGGAAATTTTTTTTCCCCAGAGATCTTTCCCCTTTTCTTTTAATCTGGCAAGATGTAATATCAGTAACATTGCAGTGTGTGTTCTAGATATGGTAACAATCCTGTTGTAGCATTTGCTTGAACAGATGAAATCACTGGAGTTTAATTCTTAACATTGAACAAATGTGCTAATTTTGCATGAAAAGTTTGCGTTAAAAGTTTCTAAGCATCACTTGGCATTACTATATTGAAATATGCTAGTAACAAGGACTTAACATTGAAAGGGGAGAGCAGACTATGACTGAAACTGAAGTGCCACATCTAGGGAACTGAGAAGAATAAAACCAAGTATTTTTAGAATTCCGGTTATTGCTTATATCCTTAGCCAAATTCTTCAAAGTTGTAGTTTATATTCACAAACTTGATAATTGGTCCACTGCAACTTTTTTTCATCATTTAGAGACATCTCATTTTTTTTAAATGAAGCTCAGAATCTCTCTTAGCAACATGAACAAAATTAGTGCAATGCAATGCAGCCCTAGGCATTCTGTTGAGAAGTCACCACCGCTGTATTCAATGGAAGTAAGTTCCAAATATTTCAGTATTTGTTAGATACAGGGTAAACTTCTTGTTCAAAGTTAACAATACAAGAAAAGGCTAATGACCTTCAGAATTAAATTTCCTATGTTTTTATAATGTTATGTAGGATAGGAATGACCTTGGGAGTCTGTTAGAAAAGATGCTGTTTAGGGAATGTTCACAGAAGGGAGGGCGAGGCAGAGACTGCAGCTGCGTGACAAAACTCAGAAAGCATCCTTTCCAAATTATCAGGCTATAAAAAGAGAATGGGGGTGGGGTGTTTCTACTTTCAGACTTGCAAGATTCTGTTAATGCAACCTTACAATAAAGTAGAATTAACTCATCTCCTCTTGTTTCCTATCTGCTCTAGCTGGGAAGGCTGACAGTTTCAGCACTGTAAAATAAAATAAAATAAAATGATGCTTATGTTTGCCTGACTATGCATGTATGTAAAATATATTTATATAAAAATATATTTATATAAAACTACAAGTTTGTGACAGAGTCTATAACTTCATTTGGACACCAGCTGCGCAATTCCCTGACAACACATCATTCTGAGCACTGGGAAACCTGCAGAAGAAACTAAAGCATGTAGGAGTTCTGTAAAAGATGCAGAAAGTTTCAAATGCGGTTATGCTGTTCAGATGAGTAGCGGTGAACATTCCTTTTATATTTTTTTATTGAAGTTTAAGATACAAAGATAAAAAACTAATATAAACTAAGAAAAAGAAAAAAGTATAGAGATAAAAAAGAGAGAGGAAGACAAATATATTTAAAAAAGAAAAAAGGAAGTTTGTTCTTCATCAATATTTCAGTAACTTTTCCCCTTCTCTTAACTTTTCAACCAAATTTTCTTCATTCCATATTTTATCTTTTATCTAGCAAATAATAAAGCCTCATCATTCAATCTTAATCAGTAAAGGTTCATTAAGAGTTTTTAGAGCTTAAACAAGTAAATCAGTTTCATATTCCTTTACACAGTAACTTACCATTTTCTTTCAAAGTACAACAAAAAACTTCTTCCCGTTTCTTATATCTATAAGCAAATCTTTAAAGTCTTATCATTTACTTAAAAAAACCCATTAGGAGCTACCAGAAACAACATAATTAAAATTGATGATTAATCCGTTCAAATAATTAACTTTTTGTCTTATTCTCCTCTCAGAACCCCCTTCACAAGTTTATCACTTAGTTTTTAATACCAAAGCTTCTCACCTCCGCTAAAAATACAGCAACAAAAAACCTCTTTCCCATATTTTATCTATAAACAAATCTTCAAAGCCTCTTTCAGTTCTGGACAAGAAAAACCCATCAAAAGCTACTACAAAAAATAAACATTTTAACCTTGATCAAATAACCCAACTTTATAAAATATCTTACTTTTAAAAGTCTTGATGTTCATTCCTTTTAAGTAGTGTCCCAAAAGATTATTTCTTTTCATTATTTTTTTATCTTTTCTCAGAAACTCCTTCATCTTTGTCAATATGATTTTTGCATCCTGTCAACTTTGAATCATATCCAAAAGAGCCTGATTCACAGTTGTATCCTCTTCTATCTCCTCTTTTAATCTCATTTTTATAGTGACAATCTTAATCAAATGTTCTGAGTACATTATTGCTAAATATTCTTCCCAAGTTAAAATACTTTCTTCCATTCTGAATTAGTGGGTCTTCTACTTTAATTCTAATTTTAATTCTGTATGGTCATCTTTAGTGACCAGCATTTAAGGTCTCCTCTTATCATGTTTTTTCTCTAATTCACAGCATTTTCCCAGGGAAAGATTTCTTATACTTAAACTCAAAACTCCATATATTTTAATGGAATTTTTTTTTAAAAAAAAAACCCAGGAAGTATTCTTATAATTATTTCTGAATCTTATTCCAGTCAATCTGACCCCTCAATGTTCTAATCACCCTTTTGCTGCTTATTTCCAAATAAAATATTTTTCTTTAAGTTCTTAAACTTACATGAAACTTTTTTCACTGAGGATTGAAGGAAAAATTACCCAGTGTAATAAAATGTGTCCTTCTGAAGGTTCTTAGTATCCCAAAAGCAATTTACAAGCCATTTCTAGCGAAAGTGGTTAAAAGGGTGAACTCAGTGTCTTTTTAAAGGCTCTGGACCATGGTTTGGGCAAAGCTGATTTTCATTACTCCCAGAGTTCTAAAACTTGCTGGAGACCACTGTTTTACAGTCTTGTCACGAGGGACATCTTTATGGAGCATTCTGGATTATCCTGGATCCCTCTCTTAATCTGGGGAGGAGTTCAGGGAAATTCACTGGATCCTCTTCCCACCATGGTCATTGGCTCTGCTCTTGTGGAGCCATCTTCAGTTTGCCATTGCTTCCATGGTAGATAATTTTTTTCCCCCCTGATCTAAATTGTGTCCAAAGGAATTTCTTCCACAAAGACTATGGATATCCATATACACAACTGAAACAGTTTCTTACAAGTTGTGAGAGCATAAATTATTCAGGGGGGTTAGGATTAGGATTCCTTTTTGTTCTTTTCAATGAAACCTTAGGGTATTTTCATTTTGTATTTCTCTTCTACTGTCGGCAGTTTCCATGTTTAGGCAATTAGAATGCTGGTTGACAGCTTGCTGATAGTCACCTGTGTGATGTGATTGGTTTTTGCTGGCCTGAGAATCCTTTTAGACACCTGCTATTTATGGCACATGTTTTCCAGTACACAATTCTTTAGCTGCTGCCGTTTAGTCAAACTGCTTCTCATTCAAACTGTTCACAATGGCAAAGTAATCAAATGGCAAATCGGATCCTGTATTATTTTTTGGGCTGCATTGACACATAATGCTAAATTATAATGTGATTTGTTGGGCTTTGCCTCAATATGTTGTACAAACCAGCTACTATGACTTGTTTAATGAACCATGGTTAAATTACCATGAAGGATACAACCATTTTTCTATATATAAACCAGACAATGATGAGACATATTAATTTATAGTTGCAAAAAGAACATTTCTCATGTTATGGCTAAATATTTAAGTTCTCCTTTTTAACCTGAGTTTGAGATTGAAAAATAGAGTATTTCCAATAGTAAATAGAACTATTTGTTCCTAGTTAGACATGTCAAGCTGAAACTATAAATTTAACATGAGTTCATCAGACATTCTTAACTAACCATGGCTAATAAGGGATAATTTGTCATTGGTGTTACCCACCAATTGGCTTTTCTAGTTGAGAGAAGGGTTTTTATTTTGGGAAGTAAGAATAAGATTGAAAGTTATTTTTATTTAGTAAAAATATCAAG